CCCGCCCCAGCCCCTAAAGCCACCCCCCCTGCCCTGGTCCTAAGTCTCGGCCACCGGGCCCCGCCTCACAAGCACGGGGTCCGCCCCACCAGCTACAGACCCCGCCCCATCGGCCACTGGCCCCGCCTCAGGCCCCCTTCTCCAAATCAGCCGATCGCCTCCTGCTGGCCTTTCTGAGTCGGGGCAGGGGACTGAAAACCAACCCGGGTTGGGGAGCGACATCCAGATCCCTTACCCTGCCGTCCTCTTTACCACTGACCTGGGGGCAGTGGGGCACAGGAGTCCAGAGAGGTGACGACCTGTGATCTGGGCTCACTACGGCAAGATGGAAGGGGAGAGGGGTCTGCAGAGGCGAGGCCAGGCTAGATGGTCCAGCGAGGACAGGGTGCCCGGGGCAAAGCTGCGGGGGGCTGTGGCGGTGGGGAGTGCCGACCCCCAGCCAGGATTCATCCTCAGTTCTTGTCAAGAGCCTGGGGGTGGGGATACAGCGTCAGGGGAGACCCCACTGGCCCTGCCCTGGAGCTGGGGGCTGGCCTGGACCCAGGGGAGCCGCAGAGTTGAGGTGCTGGGGGCTGAGGAGGCCTCCTGCAGGCAGCCTAAGCTGGGACCTTCGGGGTGAGCTGTGTTCAGGCCGAGTGCAGGAAGGGGCCCCGACAGAGGGAGTGGAGTGGTGTGTGCACAGAGGATGCAGGTAGGAGCCAGAGCTGAACGTTGCCTGGCTGGGGCTCATCTTGAAGAGGGGCCTTTAGCAGGGTCCGCTGCGCTCAGGGGGAGCAGAGGCAGCTGAGGGCCGGGGGCACTGCCTCACCCAGACAGCGAGCTGGGAAGTGAAAGATCTTGGACAACCCGGAAGCTGGTGGGGTCACTGGGATCACTTGGGTGCCATGCAGAGGGGCACATCGGGAGGGGCAGGAGGCCAGGGCTCCGGGCTCTGGCACCTGGCTGGTGCAGACCTGGGGAGGGCAACCAGGGGCTGGCAGGGAGCTTGAGCTGGAACGACCCCAGAGGGGACAGCCCCCACAGGAGCTAATCCAGCCCTAACTGTACCCCTAACCCTGGCAATGCACTGTACTGTCCAAGCCAGGTCGATGGACACACACACATCCCTTTCCTAGAGCAGGACATTGGGTAGATGCAGCCTGTGGGCAGCAGGAGCACAGCAGAGGCCAGGCCGCAGCAGGAGAGGCCCACAGCACACACAGGTGCAGACCACAGGTCGCCCTGGATGTCCAAGGACACACTGTGCACACATGCACACGCACACTCTCGGGTGCACATGCAGAGATGTGCAAACCGGGATGCAGACACACATGTGCTCACACACAGGTGCACACACTCCCAGACCACTCAGGTGAGCCAGTCAGCTGATGACTCATGCCCGACTGTTCCCGTTAGCTGGGCTGCAGTTGCCAGGCAGCCTGCCAGCAGCAGGTCAGACACACAGGAGTAGCTGCCAGGAAGGGCCTGGCAGCCTCCTCCTGGGGCACAACGGGCCCAGCTTTCCTCCAGAAGGGGATCCTGGGTCTCACCCTTCTGCCATGAACAGCCCTGGGTGTAGGCAGAGAGCACCCTCGGGGCTGGGTGTGTGCACCTGTGTGCCTCCCCTGGGTCTTAGCCAGTCAACTACTCAGTCATGTTTCGGGACCTGTGGGCACAGACTGGGAGGAGTCTTGTGGAACCAGCCACCTTGAGGCCGAGACCCAGGTCTTCCCCTCACTAGGTGGATGACGTTGGTGGCCCCCGAGCCTTGCTGCCCAAACGAAGTGGCTCTGTCAGCTTTGGGGGAAGGAGGGGATGGGGACAGGGGCTGCCTCCAGGGGCTATCTCACCTCTGCTCCTCTCCAGGCTGCCTTGGCAGGAACCAAGAAAGACAGGAGTCAGTGTGGCGAGGCCCTGCGAGTGCCTTGCTATGAGGACTCCCCTCAGGAAGAGCAGCCGAGACTCTCTCAAGCTGCAGCCACGGGGCTCCACTCTCTGCCCAGAGACCGTCCTGGAGGCGGCACAGCATGCCCAGGGTGGTCCTGCTCCTTGGGCTTGGATGAAGGGTGAGGCTACTTGCTGACCTGCTGAAGCCCCCTCATCTGCAGCCCCCAACTAAGGTGCGAGTGGGCAGGGACACTCTCCTCCAGGGCTGAGTCCGAAGGGTGGTGGTCAGCAAGCCAAGGACCCTAACCCAGCTTTGCTTGCCAGTGCCCTCCTGGGAACCCCCTCGGGTTGCAGGGCAAGTGGGGAGTGTCCTGAGGAAGACACTTGGGGGACTGTCCAGAAAGCTTTCCACCACAAGGGCCACCTGCTCACCCCTAGCACCCCGGGAACCCATGGGCTCTGCCTTGCACAGATGTCTCTGGGAGGGCTGGCCTGCAGACCTGCCTTCTTCACTCCTCAGACCCCAGCCAGAAACCCTCCCCACTACCAGGCCCCAGGATCAGATTGCGGCTGTCAGGAGCAAGGGCAAGTGTCACACTCCATCCCCAGTCCCTCTCTGCCCCTGCAGTGGAAGTCTGAACATCGCAACCGCAAAGCCCTGTCCTGACAGATTCCTGTTGTCATGGCTCAGCTGCAGCCTCTCCATGTCCCGCTCTGAGGACCGAGATCAAGCTATGGATGGCCAGTGCTGTAGGGCTCAGGAATCAATGTCACCCACACCCGCATCCAGGGAAAAATGGACCGAACTTGGGGTCACCCCAGTGCATACAAGGCCCTGCCTCCTTTAGATATCACCCCAGGGTGCTGCTCAGCTCTGGGTCCCACACTCTTCCTCCCTAGGCTGGATTCAGGCATGGGCAGGGCCTGGTGAAGTGCCCATCTCCCCCTGCCCGCCTCCTGCCTGCTCTCCTGTGCTCTCCTCTCAGGGAGGTCCAGATGCCCACAGCATCAATGATTGATGTCTCCTTGTGGCCACTGCAGCAGCATAGCAAAAACAGCTCTGCCTTGTCCCTGCCCCGCCCTGCCATGGCCCGCTGAAGGGGCAAGATGGACATGGGGCATCTTCATCCTTTACCTAGGACGACACTGTTCCCCCACTCGCCCACAGTGGCCCTGGCTCAGTTGCCTGTCCCCACCAGAGCTGAGTGCTGTTTCAGGCCTGAGCGTGGCCCCCAGGTCCCCTCCTCCGCACCCCACGGCCCGGCACATGGCTGGGCTCCAGAAGCTGGGAAGAGAGGGGGCACATTGGGAGGCTGCACTTTTTTGCCCCTGTGCCTAGACCGCCCCTCTGGCAGTGGGCTCAGCATGCTCCAGAGCTGGTCCTGCTGCCCAGACGTCACAGGGTGACAGAGGTAAGGGACTGAGGTCCCAGGATCCTGGAGAAGCAGGACACCTGGGAACTCCAGGAGTTCGAGGATGCCCCCAGGCTCCACAGAGCGCCACTCAGCGCCACTCAGCTCCAGCTCGTGCAGCCGGGGAATGCAGGTCATCCCAATCAGGCCTGGCTCCTGGGTCACTCCCTCCTGCACTCATCCTGAGGGGCACAGTACGCTTCTCACTTTCCACTCTGAAGCTGAGACCCAGACAGGCCTGGGGCCTGGGCCTGGGCCTGGGGAGTTACTGGTGGCTGGGAAAGCTGCTCCAGCCCCATTCCCTGTCTCTCCTGTGGGCCACGGCCTCAGTCCCCCTGCCCCATACTCGAGGACATTGCACTCCCCAGGACATTGAGGATGCTGAGAACAGTGAGCACTGGGGATGGACAGAGAGCAGGACCTGCCGGCTGATGCTGTCCCTGGTCATGATGAGCTAAGCTGAAGCTCACTGCAAAGTCAGACAGCTCCAGGGCCACTGCGGGTTCCAGGGTGACAGGGCCAAGACCTAGTCCTGAGCAGTCTGATGGCAGGGCCCCAATAGGTGCTGCCAGGCCGGTCTGTCACTCAGGAAGTGGGGGTGAGGGTGGCTAGGGTCCAGGATGCAGAGAATGATCTCATCTTGTCACTTTAAAATCAAATTTTTCAGTAGCTTGGCAGCAGACGGGCAGGGACTCGGTAATTCACTCAAGGAAAAGGCTCAAGACGCAGAGGTGGGAGGAATGAGAGCCTGGTGGTGGGCTGGGCATGGAAGAGGGCCTGGACAGCAGTCCGGTCTTCCCTTCCGGCAGGAGGCAGGGCGTAGCTGCCTTGGAGCCCGCATCAGTCCTGCTGACTGCAGGAGGCGGGGAGTGTGCCTGAGTCTGGGGTGTCTGCGAGAAGGGCCGGACTAGCTCATCAGGGTCCTTACCCTAGGGCTAGTGGCACAGGAGGGGCCCAGACAGGTCTGCTCTGCCTCGGACTGGCTGGTGAGGAGTCCAAGACCGCGAACAGCACAGGCCCGAGAGGAGAGTCCCCCACCCCCTGCCCCGCGAGCGCCCCCTGCTCTTCTGTCCGTGGGCGCTCAGCCTCCTGCAAGTCGGCCCAGGATCCAGGTGTCAGCGAGCCAGGCTTGGGCCCGGGTCCTCAGGGAGCCCCATCCGGTAGGGAGACCTCCCGAAGCAGCACAAAACCACACAGCGAGGGCAGGGCGGGGCGCGTCCCTTCTGGCAGGGGCGGGGCCAGCCAGTCCTGGTCCCGCCCTGTCCTGGTCCCGCCCGGACGGCGTGCTGACCTCACGGCGGCGTTGCGCCAAAAGCAGGCCAGTGTGCGCCGTTGCCAGGCGACGCGTGGCGCGGGTCTGCAGACCACTGGTTGCTGGTTGCTCGTAGCTGGGTTGACACGCTCTGCGCGCGAAGGTAGGTGGGGGCCTGGGCCCGGCCTTGGAACCTGGGCCCGGCGGAGCCCCCGGCGCACGCTGTCCTCGGGCCACCGGTAGCGCTGCGCTCGCTCCCCCACCTCTCACCCCGGGCCTCGCGCGAGCGCCGCTCTCTCCTGCGGTCAGCGGGGCCGCCCGGACCCTCGCGGGTCTTCCGGGCCCGCCCTCCGCTCGCCACACCTGTCCGGCCCCGGGACGCCGTCCTGCACCAGACCGGTCACCCACGCGTGCAGACGCCAGCCAGCGGCGCGCGCGTCCCCGGCGCCCAGGAGCTGTGGGCTCCACGGCCGCACGTGGGCTCTCCGCAGGAAGCGAGGCGCCCCAGCGCGTCCAGCGCGGTGGAGGGGCGGGCAGCTCGGCTCAGCAGCTGCATGTCCTCCGAGCTGCCTCCCATCGGTCTGCTGCCCTGGCTGCGCGGAGATGCAAGCCAGCAGGAGCTGGGAGGAGAGTCCGCGCGTGACGCAGAGGGGCCCGGCGAGGTTTCCCTCCATCAGGTAGCTGGGGGACGGAGGAAGGACAGTTTGGAACGTTTAAGGATCTATTGCAACAGTCCTCTGTCAGATGGGAAAGCCAGCAGCTTCGGGGGAGAGGGCCTCCCTATCTGCCCCGCCCAGGGTCCTGACCCAGGAGAGCTGAGTGGCGCCTGGGGGGAGTTCAAAAGCTTCCAGGAATCTTCAGCCAAGTTTGAGCAGTTTTCGAAGTGCCCAGAACTGCTGCAGAGACCCGCAGAATCTCGGCGGTGGAGTGCTCCTCCTGCCCCAAGGGAGCACAGTTCCCAGCAGCCACACCAGGGTGAACTCTGGGTAACAGGAACTGCTGTTGACCCATCTTCAGAGGTATTTCTGCAGTGCTTGTCACCCTGTTCAGTGGGCAGTGTCTTGCACACCAAAAGGCCCACAGACCTCCGGCAGGCTTTAGTGCACTGGCTGGGGTGGGGGGCTGCCGCCTTTGAGTGGCCTCTTCTCTCCTGGCCTTTGTCCCCTCCCATGTGGTTGGCTGTCCTGTCCTCCTGATGTTGCAGAAATGGATCAGACCGAGGTCAGGTGGCGCACCCAAGCTGGGCTGTGTTACCTGACCACTCCTCCCCAGGCCTACCCTCTCCCCTTTGCAGCAGCTGCACTTGTGTGGCTCCATTCAGGCACTTGGGGAAGGAGCTCTTTGCCCACATTCTGAAGCTGTAGCTCTGGGAGTCCCAGCTCCTGAGTTTCATTGATGAGCTGGGGAATGTCCAGCCCCTCGCCCTGCTCCCTCCTCAGAGCTGCCAGCCTTTGGCTCCTCCCTGCCCCCCACCAGGTGACTGCCTCTGGCCCTCTTGCTAGCAGCGGCTGTTCCACCAGTGCTCCTCCACCAGCCTGCCCTTCTCTCCTGCCAAACTTCCTTCTCCACTGGGGCTCCTTCCCTGTCGTCTCTTCCAAAACCAGTCCACCTCAAACACCAAAGAACAGATAAGTAAAATCACTAAGGAAGGAAACTGTGGACAGACTGTTTTCTAAACCAGTACTTCCCTGGACCTCTGACAGGTCCACTCAGTACAGTCAGCTCTGCTTTAACGCTTGTTTGGAAACTAGGGTTTTCTTACAACATGATTGATATACTAGGGGACATTTGAGCATAATAGAAATTTTGCAGGACACACTAGGCAAATGTAGAAACTCTGCCAGGTGAGCAGTTGGAATGCACACACTCTGCCTGCACACTGCAGACATCTGTCATGCCTGGCTCACCAGGAACTTGGGGCAACATGAGGCGTCCCCTTCCTCCTGTCCCACTGATGGAGTTGTGTCCTCACCAATGTCCTGTGGTGCTGGGATTCTCACTGCGTGATTGTGCACAGTGCAGAGCTTTCATGAATGACTATCAAGGGATGGCAGCACTGACCTCCATTAGGTGTAGTCAAGCACCAGTTTCCCTTGTACCAAGTTAGCTGACATAAGGTGGCTGACTGTGTGCGTCCCCCTAACTTCGGAATGTTCTTCTTTCTAGCCTGTTGTCAGCTATGAGAACGTTTTTAGGTTTGCTTTTCCAGAGGTCACAGTCGAGCAGACCACTGAAGACGTTTCTACATTAGACCATTTCTTAGAAGCAACCAAGGAAGAAAACCCCGGTCTCTCACCTGTACACAGACTGTGGTAATGAACTTAGATCAGAACTAAGCAAATCTCTGCAGCGCTGTGTTTGCACTGTGTGCTGCAGTAGCTGTGGGAGGCTCTGTGTTTAATGCTTAGAGAGCCCATCACTCCCGAAGCCACCTGTTTGCCTCCCGTGGGAACCACAGCCCAGATGGATGCTCCAGAGGTGCCACCCCCGAGCACCAGAATGAACTGACATGGGCACCAGCCCTTTGGTGTCTCTGCATGGGCAGGAAGGACAGGTGGGGCTGGGCATGGGCAGAGGGGCCTGTGGAGCAGCCACCTAGCCACCTGGTCAGCCCGCGCTGGCGCTGCCCACAGGGCTGAGGCTCCTAGGGGCAATCAGTCACAGGCATATGCAGATGCCATCCTCTAAGCACTCGGAGTTGCCAGGCACTGTGCTCCAGGGCTGAGACATGGGCTGGGCTGAGCTGCTGGAGATGTTAGCCTGAGGCCCCCAGAGGGAGGGAGGTGGGGAAGCCAGGCTGGCCTGTGGCGCTGTTCCTGTCTTCTTGGGCACAGGCCTCATTAGAACCCTGCAGACAGGCAGGCCATTCTACAGAGCCCTCTGTGGTGCCCCTGCAAAGCTTGGCCCATGGGAGAGCCAGCCTCCAGGGCAGCCCAGCAGGCTGGGGACTGGTAAGGCTGGAGGACCAGTGGCACTTTGGGCTGGAGTGGAACTGGTTTTTTTTTTGTACCGGGGATCGAACTCAGGACCTTGCGCTTTAAAGGCAGGCAGCGGAACCACTGAGCTAAATCCCCGGCCCTGCTCTCATGGTCTGAGACACCAGGGTGTTTTGAAAGAGATTAGGTGCTTAGTGTTTCCTGTCTGGTCCTGGAGTTTTGGGCCTTTCCTTTCCTCTCGAGGGTGTAAACATCTGGGGGAGACCCCTCTCAGCCCCCACTGCATTCAGCAGTGACTTTTGGCCATGACGAACATTCCCCATTCATTTCTCCATTCTGCGAATTCCTTGTTCTGCTCTGTGCACACCTGCTTTGTAGCCAGCAGGGGGAGGCACCCGTGTAGCAGCCCAGTGTACACCTTCTGGCCTCCCAGGTCTGCTCCCGGGAGAAGCCCTCAGAGTGCTGCACTACGGCGGGGGTGCTCTGTGGAAAGACAGCCAGCCCAGTGGGGGTTACAGACAACATTGGGTATTTGGGCCAACGCTGCAGCTCAGTGCTGCTGGGCTCTGCCTCAAGGCCGGGTGCCCTCTGCTGGTGAGCTGGGCTTTGGACCTGCTCGGAAGGCTCTCGGTCTCCTAATGGCTGCGTCGTTTTCCAGTTCTAAATCAAGGAAACTCTGGAGAAACCTTGAGAACACCAACGCCACGTCCATATCCCAGTGCCTCTGGAGCAAGTCTCGCTGCCAGGAAAACCTCTTTCTCGTTCTCGGCGTGGATGTAGCTCGGAAGGTAAGGTGGCTGTGGCGCACCCTAGGGACCACCTGCCTGGGACAGGATGGGTACTGAAAATGCATGGTCTGCAACAGAGGGCACCTGCCTTCCCCAGGCCTCCAGGCCACTGACTTGGAGTGACTGAGGCAAGGCGGGGCCAGGGACGGCTCGGCAGAGCGTGCTATGAGGGCTGGTTGCCCGCTGTCAGGGCAGCACGGCGTCCTCAGACACCTGCACATGGCTGCAGGAGGGTGCAGCTGCCTTGATACCGTGTGTGTGAGCTTGGAGTGGGAGCCCAGGGCCTGGTCAGAGTCTCCTGGGGACTCCCCTGAGGACCTGAGGCAGGAGACATTGCTGGAGGCTGGCTGTGCCTTCAGTCCTACGGGCACAGGAAACGGGGAATGAAGCTGGGCTCTGGCATGGGCACAGGCAGTATGGGAACAAGGAATGGGGCGTCCAGGTAGGGGCACCCTCAACAGCGGGAAGGGCCGCCTGCACTCCTGAGGGAAGTGAACATCACCCAATACTGGTGCGCCTGAGCCCAGCAGGTGGCCCCAAGATGAATGCCCAATGCCCCAGGCAGAGCCCTATTGGGCTGGGCTCAGGTCAGCCACAGTGCAGGGAATTATCCGAGAAAGTGCACACTCCAGGGAGGGCCTTTCAGCTGCTGCTTCAGATGGCAGAGACCTTTTCTGTTCATAAGTGCTACGAACATTTTAAACAGAGGAGCTGAGGAAGGGTGGCCCTGATGAAGGCCCCTGTGCCACACAGTTGGTCAGGAGTGAGGGGTGGGAGGGTGGAGAGGACCCTGACTCATCTTGCTGCAGGGAAAGCAGATCCAGGAGACCAGAAGACTGGGAGGGGTCTGTTTTCTGTTGCTGTAACAAAATCCTGAGCCTGGGTAATTCCTAAAGTGTAGAAGGTTTTTTTTGTTTTTGGGGGTTTTTTTTTGGTACCGGGGATTGAACTCGGGACCTTGCGCTTGTGAGGCAGGTGCCAGAACCACTGAGCTAAACCCCCTGCCCCCTAAAGTGTAGAAGTTTATTTGGCTGACGGTCCTGGAGGCTGAAGCCCAGGGCACCACCTGGAACCTAGTGAGTCTCCTTGCTTCAGCACGGCACAGCGAGGGCATCGCAGGGCAGGCAGAGCCAGCGTGCCAGCCCAGGTCTCTCCCACTGTCTGTATAAATGCCGCTGTGGAGGCTAGCCTCCAGACCGCCTCTGATCCTAACCACCTCCCAGAGTCATCTCCGGATGCCGTCAACACAGGAGTTTGGGCACTGCGTTTCCAACACACAAACTTCAGGGGGAACCCATTCCAACCACATAGGCAGGCTGAGGGGTGCACAGTCCCGGAGGCCCGCAGGTCAGGTGATGAGCAACAGGTGGCAGGGCTGAGTGGGGAGCCCTGTGACCTGACCTCACAGAGGGGCCTGAGTGTTGAATTCAGTGCTGTTGTAGAATGAAATGTGATGGAAGTACACAAGTGCTCAGAGAGAAAATGATGATCATACTGGCTGTGACAGAGCTTTGTTTCCCCAGAGCCCTTCCGGAAGCCAGGGTCACATTCTTCGAGGTCCTGACCTCGAAGAGCCTGAGGAACTGCTGGCGGTCAGCAGCTTCCATCTACACCACTGCAAAGCCCTGATCCAGACCAAGGTGAGGGCCACCAGAGAGGCCTGGGAAAGGTGGCAAGGTCCACAGGCACACAACCCCTCCTGCCTGTGTTGAGTCTCACACACTTTGAGTTCTTGTGGACTGAGGGGAGGGGAGCTTTGCTGCTGCCTAGGGCAGACAGGCCAGGGGGACAGTGCCTCGGGCGCCACAGACCCAGGTGTCAGCTACAGAGACTGAACAAGTGTATCGGGGGTGAGAACTGGCCGGAGGGCAGAGCTATGTGGCAGGGCGGGCGGGGAAGCAGGACATGGGCCTGCCAAGGCTGTGGCTGTGCTGGGGGCCTTCCCTGCACCGGCACCAGGCCTTGCACCTGGCCCTGCACCTGGGTGGGTGCCAGGCACTTCTGCAGGGTCTGGTGAGCAGCTTTACTCACAGGGTCTGAGATCTGTGGGGCAGCCACCTGGTGCTGTCATCGCGGTAGGGACCACTTCGGGAAGAGGGATAGAGGAAAGGGGCTCTGCTGCCCAGAGAGCAGCAGCCCCAAGGCAAGGCCTCCCAGTACCCACCTCAGGACAGATTCAGAACAGAGGACGGCCAGCAGAGGCCAGATTGTAAGCTAGAGTTTGGCACAAGGCTGGTGCTGCCCTGCTGATACGGGCTGTAGCCTTGATGGCCAGCTGCTGTGGGGTGCCTGAGGGGCCTCATGAGCTCACACAGGGCCACTGGCCAGGGCCCCGGGGGACTCTGTGCCCCATTGCTCTTGGGCAGAAGCCTCTAGAGATGGAGCTGCGGCTGTCTCTGGGCCACAAGATGTCAAGTGTTGGTGGCCACATCACTCAGCAGCTAGCACTGGGGGAGTGGCCAGCAGCAGCTGAGTGTGGACACTTGTGTAGTCCCAGGGTGAGTAGGCAGGGTGGGCCAGACCCAGCGCAAGGGCTGGGAACCCACTTGAGAAACAGACCTCCCGTCTTGGGAACTGCAGGCTGGACTCAGAATTGTAAAAAGCTGGCTGGTCACCCGGGAAGACTGATATGCATCTGTAGTTGCACACCACGTGTACCTGACCCTTGCCCTCCTCACAGCTCTCGGGGACACCTGGCAGCGGGCAGGGAAGCCTGATTACCTACAGCCTCTTTCTGAAGACACCCCTCCATGGAAATGGACAGTACATCACCATCCCACAGAAAAAGATTTTTCCCCCACGGAATCTAAAAATGGCATTCTTTAATAATGATGTTTGCTAAAAGCAGGAGCACTTGTACCTTTCTGAAGCATTTTCCTTTTTCTTACTGATCCACTTTGGTACCAGAAACTGGAAACAATTTTGTGTCCCAGGACCTGCCACACCATCTGGAGCCCCTGGCCTGCCTCAGGTCCTATCAGGATGCACGAAGGAAGTGTCCTGTGCCAGACGCAGCCAGCATGTAGAGGGCAGGGCGCTGCTGTCCAGGCAGCCCAGCGGCGCCACCGATGCGTGGTGGTGACCCCAGGCGGCTCAGTCACATCCATGAGTTCAAAGAAAGGGGAAGACATCGAATGTCTTTGGGGAGATAGTGGTTGAACATGCCCAAGAACCCCTGGGGTGCTGTTCATGGAAGCTCCACACCGGCGCTTCAGCCCTGCCCAGCAGCCCTGGAACAGGCCTTGGCCTGTGGGTAGGAAGCCACATTGCCCTGGCCCAGCAGGCCCTGAGTAGCCATATCTTTCCCTAGTCATCTGCTGAGACAGCTCTTTCTTTCCAAGGGCAGAGCCAAGCAGGCAGCACTGGTTTTTTTAAACTTATATTAAATAAAAAGGCCTGGATAACCCTGTGTTCTTGTTGAGTCATTAGTTCTGCAGGGACTGATGCTGAAATCTTGTCCCCAGAAGGCCTGAGGTCTGAGGGGCTGGCAGAGAAGCCACGCTGGGCAAGTTGGAGGTTCTAGTTGGGACTTCGCTGTCTGTCCCTGCCCAGGCCATGCTGGGGACCAGCTTCTCCAGAAGGTGCCAGCTTCCCGGCCGAATGACCCAGCTGATGGTACGGCTAGGACAGGCACAGCGATGGTAGCTGTTCCTGCCACGGGGGGAGAAGGGAGTAGATGTCACAGCGGTCTGGCCCTTGGCCACCCGCCCCCGGCAGCTGTACTGCCAGTGCTACATGGGGTGTGGTTTGAGGCTTATAACAAAGCAGTAACTAACTCAGATCTGTCTGTGCACACCAGAAGTTTAGAAAAAACGAAGGCTGGCCAGGGATTTAGCTCAGCAGCACCACGCCTGCCTTGCAAGCAAAAGGTCCTGAGTTCAATCCCCAGTACCAAAACAAAAACAAAAAACAAAGGACCTGAGTAGATACTTCTCAAAACACATGCAAATGGCTTATGAAAAAAAATGCTCCACATCACTGATCATCAGGGAAAGGCAATTAAAAGCACAACTAGCTATTACCACACACCTGTTAGGACAGCTAATGTCAAAAAGAAGGATAGCTGGTGAAGCTCTGAAGCAAGAACCCTGCATTGCCGGCCAGAGTGTAACCTGCACAGCCATTATGGCAACAGTATGGCGCCCCAACTGGACCTACCATGTGAGTCAGAAACTCCACCTCTGGGTGTCTACCAAATGTTCAGGGCAGCACCACTTGAAATAGCCAAGGCATCGAACTGACCGAAGGCCCAGCAGCAGGCGAATGGATAAGAAGCGAGGTACAAACACACAGTATAGTACTGGAGTATCACCCATCCACAGAAAGTTGAAGCCCTGTCACTGGGAATGTGGATGGACCCTGAGGATGTATGCAGAGTGAAGCAAGCCTGGCACAGAGAGGCACGCCGCGTGACTTCATTTATATAGGGTTTTAAAAAATGGAGCTCAGATGCTGAGAGACTGGGCCTCTCTGGGGATGGAGAGTTAGCCTAAGGGTACGAAGCTCAGATGAGAGGGCCAAGTTCAAGAGATCTGCTGTGCAACCAGGGGGATACTGAGAGTAGTCAGTAACTGTGAACGCCCGAAAACCACTAAGAGTAGATTTCAGACATTCTCAGTACAAAAAAGGATTATTGTAATACGTTTGTTAATCAGCTCAATTTAGCCATTCCAAAAATGGAGACATATTTGAAAACATCACCTATACTATAAATATATTTTTGTCAGCTTAAAGAATTTAAAAGATCTGGAATGGCTGGGTGTGGTGCACACGCCTTAATTCCAGCACTGGAGAGGCTGAGGCGGGGGTGCCCATGAGTTCCAGGCAGGCAGAGGGTGCCCCAGTGCCCAGCCTTAGCCTCCAGCACAAGAGGCAAGGGGCGCCGCCCAGTCCCCCCAGCTCTGGGTGTCCTCGCAAAACCGTGCAGCAGCCTCCGTGGGAAACGAGCCATTTCTCTGACAAACCCTGTCAACCAAGGTGCAAGGAACCCTGGCTGGGCCTGCAAGGCGAGAGGTCCCCGAGGTGGGTGGGTGGGAGGCGCTGAGCACCCAGCCGTCTACAGAGTAGGGTGGGGAGCAGACAAGTGCTGTGACCATCACATGAAGTCCGGTCTTGACCCCGGCCTTCCGCCTTGCTGGGCCTCCCCTCCTGGGAACCCACCCACCACAGCCCATCAGGACCATGACCCACGCTCACTACAGGGACACCAGGAGCTCCCAGGACGGGCGCAGGGGCAGCCTACACTCTTAGGAAGACTTTCATCAAAAAGATGCGGTGCAGCCCAGAACACAGCAGAGCAAGGGAGGCTCAGGCTGAAGTGCAGGGCTGGAGTGCAGCGAGCCCCACACCCAACCTGTGCCAAGGATGGTGCCCCCACATTCGGTAACCAAGCCGTCAGCTCGGAGCACCTCATTTTGAAGGCTCTTCCTGACCCAGCTCCCTCAGGTTCCCCAGGTCGGACCGAGGAGGCAACCCTAGCTGCCTGGCCCACCTCTGGCCAGTGGGCTCGGGCCGGCGTGCAGGGGGGCAGTCTATGGAGAGGGGGTGCACAGCCCACTGGGCAGGACAGTTTGGGCTGGGCCAAGGATTAGTGCCCACGGGGAGTCCCAAGCCACCCTAGAAGCAGCGAGGCCTGGCCTCGCGACAGCTTCACTGTGCAGCCACGTCCCCAGACAGTGGCACTGCAATGGCAGTGCCACGACTCCTCACACACCCACACTGCACAGCTCCCCTCCCCTTCTGCCTCCACCGAAAACTCAAAGTTGGCGCCAGGGACACAAAGAACACAGGCACAGGGCACAATAAGGACAAGGGCCTTCCTGAGTAACCCAACCACCTGTCACATGGGGCCACAAAGGCCCCAGCCAGCTTCCAGCAGACCCAGGAAAGGACATCAAGTCCACTGCAGGTGGCAACCAGGAGCCTGGACACCAGTCAGGACAGAGGCAGTGGAGAAATGACTCCCTGTCTCTATCTTGAGGCCGACTCCAACACACCAAGCACACTCACAGTTCACAGGTCACCCGGCGGGGCTAGCAAAGGGGCCCAGAGGCAGGGCTCGGGGTGCCAGCCACAAGACCACTCAACAATTGCCTCATGACAGCACATGTGGCTACACCTCTCACACTGCCAGCACTACCCTGCTTTAACCACTGCACACCCAGCCAGCCCACAGGGACTATGCGCAGAGCGGGGACACCATCCCAGAATCGAGGCCTGCACCCCTCATGTGGATGTCTGGGCACTGGGGTGGGAAAGACTGAGCAGCAGCACTGGAAGGAAAGCATGGTTAGCCCTGAAACTGGTTTCAGACTTACAGAAACAGCAGTTCCCTTGGGGACGCTCACCTTCATATTGTACACTTAAATGAAGTGTGCACTACTTTTTAACTTCTGAAAGCGGCTCCCAAGGCTCTGTGCTAACACTGTAGGCATGTGGGAGACTTCCTGGGAGTCCTCCCTGCTCGAAGGCCCCTGCTCAGTACTTGTGTTAGGACAATATGCACACTTGTCGCATGCTAAGTACCAACTAAGGTAAAATCAAATGCCCTATTATTTTATAAACAAAATTATGGAACACTTGGAAAATCTTTTTCCACCACAGTTAATTTGTACCTATATATTTAAAATACCACACGTTGGGCCGGGGATTTAGCTCAGTGGTTCCACCGCCTGCCTCACAAGTACAAGGACACCCGGTACCCAAAAAAAATACCACACATTTACATGATTAAACTTGGCAAGTAATTTATGGAAAAATGATGGCACAACTACTGTGCCTATGGCAGAAATAATCACCTTCCAGTGAATAAGCAGGAAATAAGGCACCAGCTAAATAAGCTCTCAATCTTCTTCAACCATCAGAGGCCAGTGCTGGCAGGTTCCTCAGCACCCATGTGGGAACACAGCACAGGCACCTCAGTGCTGGGAGCCACAGGGAGGCCGATCATTCATGTCCCTGTGAGCTCTATTGAGTAACAAGAGTCCTGTGGCCTTCAGGCACTAAGAGTCATGCTCTGTAGTGTCTTACACTTTTCACAGCTGCTGAGAGACACCAGAGCCAGTACTGAAACTGAACAAACAATATTCAGGGAAGACAGACACTTCAGAGAAAATAACTGCTTAAGGGTTATCACTATAAACATATATACCCTTTAAACTATTTCCACAAGGAACATTTTCCAGATTAGCAGAAGGCTGTTTGTGGCTGTAGGACTAAGAGCCAGGCCTGTGCTCACCTGAGGCTTCATGCCGGGATGGTGCCCAGAACCCTGGCTTCCACACTGCCCAACCTTGAGGCAATACTCTATAACTGGGCGAGGTGCTGAACAAGGCAAAGGGAAGTTCTGTTTTGGAACTCTGGGCGGTCAGGAAATAAGTGATTCACTTACTGCCTATTTAATGCATCCAGATGGAATTTTTTTCCTGCCTCTACAAAGCAATTAGTTAATATACCTGAAGACAACCAGGAAAAAGAAAGTCCATTCAAGGATCACAACATAGTAGGTAATTCATAGCATATTTCCATTTTGTTTGTTGGATAAATTTTTAATAAAGTGAGGTTTACATCACCAGCATTAAAGAATGGTCTTATGCACAAAAGAAAACAAACATTTTAGGCTCAAAGGAGAAGTCAGAAAAAAGCACATGACAAACAGGAAACATGAGCAGGTTCGGGTCTGGAGGAGTCAGACTTGTGAGCCACCAAGGACCCGAAGGGGCCAAGCCAACCCAGCTCACCTTGGGCAGCACCTCAATGACCCTCAGGATCAAGTGGCCAGAAACTAGAGTCAGATTTTTCACCCTAGACTTCAAGGTAACCTTAAAATGTTGTCCCAGAACCAATTTAACAGAGCAAGTGTAGGCATTTTCCAACCCCACAGTGCACAGGAACACACCTTTCCCATACTCACGGTGCCCTGGCATGTGGCATCGGCTGCATGTGCTTAAAGGAGTGGGGGACCCAGGCTAAGACACACAAGAACCAGGCCCAGGGGTCCTCCCGACACGTGACCCAGTGGAAGGCACCCGAGGCCCCATGGCCTCTGGAGAGCAGCTGGTACCTGTGATTTCCACACAAATATTTGACCTTGGCTTTCAGAGGATTTACATATAAACAGGCATAAGTAATAGATCTTCCCTACACGGAAGTCTAGGTGGCTGTGGCTCAGGGTAGATCTAGTGACAAAGGTATTGTAGCTGTGCAAGGCCCTCATTGTAACTGAGCTATGCCAAGATGCGCTCCACTGTAAAAGCACAGAACACGAGGAAGGAGGGTCATGCATAAAGCTAAAGTAGAAAACCATGATGTGTTGCACTTCTTGGAGTACGGTGGAGCTCATTTAGAAAATAAATCTCCTATTCAAACCTTAAAAAAAGGAAACACACCAACTGCAACTATTCAGGCTATAAAAGTTTCCAATGTAGCAGCAAAGAATGTTTTATAGAAAAAATATACTTTAAGAAAATACTGGAAAAAACTTAAAGGGATAAAGTATAAAAGTTTAAAAAATATATCTTAAGACAAAATAGTGTCCAAAACATGTAAAACTTAATTTAAAAAAGTTCACCTATCTAAATTTAAATGAGGTCGGGTGCAGCTTATGGCCTTGCCGTCTTCCATGGCAGCAGCCCAGACAGAAAGGGAGAGCCCCAGGACCGCGAGCTGTCACCTGGCCCAGGCTGAGATTTCACAGCGCTCCATCCTGGCGTGAAAGACTCTGTCCTGCCCTCCTTGAGGAGGACAGGCCTGAGGAACTGCAACCTTTGCCAATGGCCACCTGTCCTAGGACATTCTCAGAACCTGCAGAGAGCTGGGCTGGGTGGGCCACTGGGCACGGGCACTGAGAACTCCTTGTCCAGGAACGAGTCCCCACTGCTCTGACACTGAGAAGCTCTCTGGGGCTCCAGCCTTGTCAGGGGCCCGTCAAGGGGCCTCCTCCTCTCAGGTCTCCACCAGGATCTCTACCACATGGTCTAGCTCGGCCAGGTCGGACTTGCAGCTGGAGCCAGGTGCTGGGGCAGCTGCAGCAAAGCTCTCAAGCCCGTCACAGAGGCCCGGCTTGGCACCGGTCATCATTCCTGTCAGCACGGTGTCCAGGTCATAGTAGGAACTGTCCATGTCTGAGAACAGCTCCTCCATGGAGCTGGGGCTTTTATGCTCCAGGGTCTCAAATATCTGATCCAGTGACTTCTGAAAGCTTCCTCTGTTTTCCCGAGGACTGTCCATTTCCCAAAGGCTGCTCTGAGGGCTCCTCGGCACCTCTGCTGAGTTGACTATGCAAAGTTCAGGTGGTGTGCCCTGCAAAGGGCTGTCTCCCAGGTCAGGGACGGGGCACCCAGCCTCCGGTCCCCTCACAGTGCGACACAGGATCTCTGTGGATACCAGGCGGTCGAGTGGTGCCCGCCCAGTGCTCTGGGGTGCGGCCCCACGCCCCATGCCATCCCGGGTCATCTCCTCCTGGATTTGGCGGACCGTGTTGGCGATGAGGACCGAGCGGCAGAGGTTGGGCTCCACCAACATGTGGCAGAGCTGGAGCTTGACCAGAGACATGTCCAGGAGTGACTGCCGCTGCAGGCTATAGGAAGGGACGGTGCCGAAGCCGGCCAGGGCATCCTCCCCATCTTCCTCCTGATCAACACATTTCCTCTTTAGTCCTCGTGCAAACATCGTGCCCTGTGAAAACCAAGGAAGATACCTTTAGCACACTGCCGCATTCCTCACAGACAGTGACCCAGGACAGTCTCCAAGCCTCAGAGAAAACAAAAGCACAACAGTGCTGATGTGGCAAAGACGTGATCCTGAGGCAGCTCTGTGCTTGTATATCACAGATGACAAAGCTCTAAGCTATAGCACAATTCTTCCATCAACATATAAATGGATACGGCCGGGGATTTAACTCAGTGGTTCCACCACCTGCCTTGCAAACGCAGGGACCCAAGTTCCATCCCTGGTACCAAACAAAACAAAACAAAACATATAAATGCATAAAACAGGAGAAATATATTTTTAAGGTGCCACGCTGAAACTGCACCCCAAGAATCTCTGCCTTGGGCCTGAGAGAGGAAGGACCTCATAGTGAGGCATGGAACACAAGGCTGCAGAGTGGACAGTGTTGGAGGTGTGCAGGACTGAATCAAGGATGCCACCTACTTTCTGAAGACCTCACTGTGGGACCCTGGCCAGCAAGAGAGCAACCCCCACATTTGGTCCCTTCCCTCCTAGATACTTGCTAACAAAGTCCTGGTGCTTATAGCGGGCAGCCCACTGAAAAGCTGCATCCCAGAAATGCGCATGGAGCAAAGGCAGCTGTACCCCCTCACCAGCAATGTCCTCAAAGGGACAAGAGCTACACCCAGCACGTCCCAGGCTCACAGTGGTCCTGCACACTTTTCCAGGTACCTTTTGTCTGACACCCAGGCCACCACAGCAGCAGAAAGTGCCAAGCGCTGCTGGGGCACAGCCTGGGCCCCAGAGCTGCAAAGCTGACTCAGAACAGGGCCTGGCAGGTTCTGACACCCAGCACGAACTCCAGTGAGGACCACCTTCTAGAACACAAAGTTAAGCTAGGATGCACTAAGGTTCTCCTCTCATGTGGTAATGTAGCCAAACACTGTAATTTCAAATAATTCACTTGAAACCAAATGAACAAATTAATTCATTAAACAAACATTCTCTTAAATGTGCAAACTTTAGGTTTCTTTTTAGAAAGCTCAATCTGAAGGCTCCCTGTGCCAGGTACCTCTGGGTAACTGGTGTGTGGGGCATGTGCCACCCCTGCACAAGAGCCAGGATGGAACATGGGACGCCCTGCAGTGTAAGAACTGGCCGCCAACTCATGTCCCCAGGACCTCCCCTGTGGGCTCACCCACCCTACCCTGGAACAGGGAACAAAAGTCTGCCTTTAGGGCTGGGGATTTGGCTCAGTGGTTCCACCGCCTGACTCGCAAGCGCAAGGTCTCGGGTTCAATCCCCTGTACCAAAAAAAAAAAAAAAAAAAAGTCTGCCTTTCTTCTGAATTCCCCTTCAATGTCACAGATCTCACCTGCCATATATGCTATACTCTTAACATTTCATTTCAGTGACCTCTTGGGCATTTATCCCAAAGAAATGAAAGCCAAGGTTCAAGTGAAAACACAAGTAAGAATGTTCACAGCACTCCAAGTGTAATGGCCCCAAATTGTAAGCAACCCCTTTCAGCTGGGGAGGAAAGCCAGCCTCCAGAGCCACATGCCATGTGATGCTATTCACAGGGCAACTGTGGGATGTACGGTGAGGATGAGCAGGCAGGCCATAAAGGGTGCTCTGGGGCAAGGGACCCTGCACCTGGACAAGTGTGCCGGACCTCACAGAATCCCACACCCAAGCTCCTGCACCAACTGTGTCTGTGGACACCAGACTGGCACACCTCCAGTGGACGGCACCCGAGGCCTTCCGACATCTCTCCACCACCTGAGTATGGGGCTGTACTTCCCAAAAGTTAAGACAGGCTCAGTGACTATAGTTTATTTCCCTGCAAGTCTAATTTCGCAGAATGGCAAGTCGGCGTTATTGCCCACACAGCTCTGCAAGCCACACACCACCTAAAATATCACCTATTTTTATTTATTTTTTCTTTTTTTCCTAGTACTGGGGTTTGCCTTGCAAGGCAGGCAATGGCACCACTAAGCTAAATCCCCGGCCCATCACCTTTATTTATTTATTTATTTATTTATTTATTTATTTTTGGTACTGGGGATCGAACTTGGGTCCTTGCACTTGTGAGGCCATCACCTATTTTTAAATGCAAAGAGTTTATCACAAAAGTACATAAAAAGTATTTCAATCACTTCTGGTAATAAAACACTCGAGTTCTTTGTCTTCGTGCAAACTTAACTTCTACAGAGGTTTAAAAAAATGTGCTTAAAAGTAACTAGTGAAGGGGGCCAGGGATTTAGTTCAGTGGTTCTTGCGCCTGCCTCGCAAGCGCAAGGTCCTGAGTTCGATTCTCAGTACCAAAAAAACCCCCAAAAAGTAACTAGTGAAAACTGGTAAGTTAACTGAGAATTATAAGATTATGTCCAACTAAAATTGGTAAGTTAACTGAGAATTAATATAAGATTACGTCCAACTACAAAAAGACACCCTAGTTAAGAAAAAAACTAAGCCCCAAGTTCCTCTGTGGCAAGGTTTTGCTTTTGTTTTTTGCTGAGGATCGAACTCAGGGCCTTGCACTTGCCAGGCAGGTGTGGCACCACTGAGGCTCATCCCTGGCTGTGGCAAGTTCTTTTAATTTGTTCCTTATCTCTTTTCAACCATATCTAAAATTTGAACTATGCACAATTTAATGTACCATTCAAACCAAATTCACTCAAATAATATGAATTAAGCCCTAGATGACAGCCAGCACTCCTGGCTGCCTTCCCTGACTCTGGAAATCTGGTGATAGCCCCTCACTGGGTGAGCTGGTTGACGGGACTGGTGGAGCAATCACTACAGGTATGAGAAGAATGAATGGGCCAGAAACGCACCTCACACTTGGAGAGAGCTTAAGAAATTACACTGAGCACTAATCCCCTTGCTGCCCCTACGTCCGCTTCCCAGAAAGGTCCTTAGAAATCTCAAGTCATGAGTCCCTGAATGGTTTCACAAAGACCCTGGCATGCCATCAGCAGTGGGCCATAGGAGCCTGCTCAGGGGATCTGAAGAGGCTGCATAAGTGCTCAGCCACAGCTGGCTTGGTCACTGCTCTGTGGCCAGCACTGCAATTCCATCACTGCAGAGAAAACAAGCCCAGAAACACCTCATCAGTGTCTGCTCTACAGTTTGAATATACATGTGGATAGGAAAATGGAACCCCAGGACAGGTAGGGAACAAGAACCCGCTTAGGCTGGCCTGACCTGGCCTGGGGCCATCCACATGCTTAGCTTGAGGCTGCATAACCCTTTTAGTTCTGGGATGACAAAATGCCCTATCCCTTAGTAGCTGCAGAGTCTGGCTTCCTGCTAAATTCTACAAAAATACATTAGGTATTTTGTACCTCTCTTCTTTCCACCCACAGCCAAGTCTTTCCCATCAAGTTAAGCACCTAAAACCCACCAACTGGTGGTGCCCACGGGACAGCCAAGGCCAGCAGTCAACCCTCGGTCCTGCCTGCAGGCCTGCTCCAGACTAAACACTGGCTGGAAGAGGAGGGTCAGGTGGACAGAGAAGCTCTCACATGGCAAGGGACAGCAGAGTCCTGTGGGGGGCGAGGCAGGTGTGACAGTGACTGCATACAAGAGGCACTTCAGGATGACAGGCACTCATATCCGACGGCCAGCAGTTTGTTCCCACGTCTCAGTGGCCAGCTGAAAATGCAAGTCCCTAGGCACTGATCAAAAGGTCTGGGGCTGGTAGGGACAGTTTTGTCTCTGACCTGACCTGTCACCATCACTGATGTCCCAGTAGCCACTGCTGGGTGCTGAGATTTTAAGGCAAATCAACATTAACCACTTCTGTTTCTATCACACAGTGAAATGTACTCTGAAATACTTCATCCAAGAGCAGGATCAAGTGCCAGTTCCTCTATGCTCGAGATGGTTCTGAGGGAATCCATCAATCCACCCTCTTCTGCTCAAAATCTTCCACAGTCTATTACTAAAAAGTTGATTCCAGCTACATCTGATCCTCTGAAGGACCATTTGCCAGCAGCAACTTGGAAACTTCTGGCATCTTCCAGGAGGGCGCCTAGAAAGGTCATAGCTGACTTTCTACTCGGAACTGCACTCTTAACTATAAACACCATGACCTTTCACAAATAAGGGCGGTCGTGAGGTGTAAACCCAGTCCACTGGACGGGCAGTTCTCCCTCCAGCCGATCTGCAGGAATGGTTAGCTCAACCCTGCGCTCTGGAACGCGACACAAAGGCCCAGGAAGGGAAATGCGGCCGTCTGGACCAAGGCATCGCCCACGAGTGCTCCGAGCAGCCTTTTCTGGGGACACTATGTTGGGGGAGAAGAGCTCTGGAAAAGTCCAGCCGGATGCACTGGCAGGGGGACCCAGGGTCCCTGTCCAGGTCCCATCCCTACGGCCCGAGTCAGCTCCACCGGGCCAGAAATGAGCAGCTTAGGACAGAAGGGGGGCGGCCAAGTGTGTTCGGCGCTCCTATTCAAAGTGAGGCAAGGAAACAAACAAAGGGCAGAGCCCGAGCCGCACTTGCCAGGCTGGCGGCCGGGGGCAGGAGCCCCGCGTTCCGACGCCGGGCGGGCAGCGGCGGACGGAGGAACAAGGGACCGAGGGGAGGGAGTCGGTCCGGCCAGCCCACCCACCCTCATGGATGCAGCCCTTGCGCGTGTCACTCAAGAGCTGCGCGGGCCCGGGGTGCCGGGGAGCTCCGCCGCTTCCTACTCGCCCCCGGCCCGCGCGGTGCTCACCTGCGCCACGAGGCTGCCCCGCCGCTCCGCTCGGCGTCCGGGAGCCGGTGGGCGCCCACAAAGAGCAGCCTTGGCGCAGCCGCCTGCTCGCCCGATTGGCCGAGCGCGGGGCGGGACTCGGTTCAAACCCGCCGGGGCGGGGCCTCGGCCGCTAGCGTTCCCGCGCGGCCGCACCAGCCGTTGAGTTTGAGCGCCCTGCCGCCCCACCCCACAGCTTCCAGGTCTCCTTGCGCGTGGCTCCGCCCTGTTGGCTTCCAGGTCGTCTTGCGCACGGACCCGCCCAGCCCCGCTGGCTCCCAGGTATCCTTGCGTCCGGTCCCGCCCTACCACTCCCAGGTCCCTTTGCGCGTGGGCCCTTCCCGCGCCCACCTTCCCTTCCCGCGCCCACCCTGAGCGCTTCTAGGCAGAGACTCGCTGGCGCTGCGGGTCGCGTTGCGGTTGCTAGGTTCGCTTGGGGGTAAGGGAACCTAGAACGTGGAGTGGTGGAGACCCCAACGGGGTTGGCTGGAGCGCCAGCCTAGGCTACGCGGTGAAGCCAGGCTGTTGTATCCCTTTGGCGTCGCGCGGTGCAGGGCTGGCTGGGAGGAGTCTGCGGTCTCCTGGAAAGTTCAAGTGTGGGAGTGACTTGGCTTTCTGCTGAGCCTGATGCAGACCCTTGTAGGGCTTGCCTGAATTGTGCCTACAAAGAAAGAATCGCTGTTGGGAGGAGTCTTGGAGGACAGGGTAGGAAGAGGGGACAGCAAGCTGCTGGGCGGGATGGCGCGCGCCTGTTAATCCCAGCACTAGGGAGGCTGAGGCAGGAAATGGCAAGTTTTAGCCAAGCCTGGGCAACTAGAGACTTAGTGAGACTGTAAGAAAATAACTGGGGATGTAGCTCAGTTGAAGGACGTAGGTTTTATCCCCATTGGCGAGGGGGTGGGGGGCTGACAAACCGATTAGAATCGCTGCCATGCTCCGTGTAAAAGATACTGAGGCCCAGTAAGTATGACTCAAGATTTAACGCTGCATATCAAACATCAGGTGAAACACTATCAAGAAGAAAAGTTTCCTAAACATAACCCCCACCGAAGATCTAGTCCCGCAATACACAGCCCTGCACACTAAAACAAGATCCAAAAGCAGGCCGAGGAAACCCGGACACCTTTCAGCAGACAACAAGATGCTCAGCCTGTCGGAGTAAGCCACAAATTAGAGCCGTGTCGGATGCTGCTGTCCACCCACCAGATTGACGACAAAAACTGATACGATGTTTTCTGCTCTCGCACTGTTCGGTGTGTCCAGCATTCAACCCTGTATTAACAGGGATGCCAGGACATAAGGCAGAAAACTAAGAAAACCCCATATAATATAAATAGATCCGTGGATTTCTGATTTTAGGGTTGTCAGGATACATAGACAAGTAAAATAGCATCAATCTCACAATTTTTTTAAGACTAGGTCTCTGTCTTGCCCAGCTTGCAGGTTACTGCCCAAGCCACAGGTCTCCAACTTTTTCCAGCGTTAGAGTCAGCATAACCTTGATACTGAAACATGGAAAGGATAAGAAAACCTACAGCCTGTTTTCTTGAGAGCATACAATGCTTTAATAAGAGTCCAAGCTAATGTTAATAAATTAGTTCCAATGTAGTATAGAAAAGATGTCTCACCACAACCAAGTTGGGCTTCCTCCAGGAATGCCAGGTTGCCTTAGCATTCCAAAATCACTTCATCACAGTGAAAAAAATGAGAATCTCAGTAGGTGTAGAAAAAGCAGCTGATAAGATTCAACATCCTGCCAGGTGTGATGGTGCACACTTGAAATCCCAGCACTCGGGAAGCTGAGGCAGGAGGATCAGCTCAAGCTAGAGGCCAGCCTGGGCTACATAGTGAGTTCAAGGGCAGCCTGGACTAGATAGTGAGAACCTGTCTCAGTAAAAACATCAGCCAAGGGAGAGGCATACTGGGCAGGGGCCAGGAGACTCCAGAGAGCTTCCAGTGGTATTTTTCTGGTAATCACTGAGGAAGACTCCATGCAGACCGATTACCCTTGTAGAAGTCAAACTGAGGGCGCATGACCCAGAGCTTTCCATCCCCCCACCCCATCACTTCATTGGGCCACTTAGTGTGGCTCTAGGCCCCCGGACACAGTTGGATCAGTCACCTCCCAGGAGCTGAGGGCAAATACCTGGCCTCTCTTTGGGCAAAATTAAATTCTCACTATGGGAGGGACTCCTTCATCTGAATAATGTACACAGATGCCCCCAGGAAATACTCAACAAATGGGGGAGAAGTGAAAATTGGGGGAGGAATGAGACAAAGCGGCCCCTCCCACCCCATCACCCAACATTGTCCCAGAGGGCCTAGCTGCTGCAGGAAGAAGGTAAGAGAAAAAGTAAGGGTTGGAAAAGAACTAAACCATCATTAATCTCAGAAGGTAAGATTTGATTGGAGGGAGCCCAAAAGAATTTCCAGCTAAACTGTTCAAATTAATGAAGAATTGGGCGTGATCATCAGATACACAGTACAGGAAAATCAATTGTATTTCGTATATGTAAGTAACAAACCAGACCAGGCATGGTGGGCTGTAAGCCTAGCACTCAGGAGGTTGAGGCAGGATGATTGCCACAAGGTGAAGGCCAGCCTAGGATACATAGTTAAAAGCCAGAAAAAAAAACCACAAGAACAGGTAAGACAGGGCCAGGGATTTAGCTCAGTGGTTCCACTGCCTGCCCCGCAGCATAAGGACCCAAGTTCAATCCCTAGTACCAAAAAAAAAAAAAGACTAGGTAAGACAGCCCTTTAGGAGAAACACAAGGCAGTATTCTAGGCAGCTAAGTTAGACTGAAATTAATAAAGAGGGATTAGGCCCTCCAGTGAGTCAGTGTGGAGGATGAGACCACCACAGTTGTGCCTGGAGAGAAATCTGAAGAGAGCCAGCCGCAAGATAGAGACACAGCAGCCAGGCAGGAGCCTCCTTAGAGATAAACAGCAGCTGGAGATCATGCTGTCATTAGCACCACCTGGCCCAGTGGGCCCAGCTAGGCATCAGACACATGGGTGAGTGAGCAGAACACCTGGACCCACACGCTCACCCCTTTCCAGGAATGCTTGGTCCTTTTGATGTTAGAAGTTGCAGGTAACTAAAGTTAATGATGCTTGCCATATACCCTTGCTATGGGCCTCAGTTCCATTTTGGATCAATTTACCTAAGCCACTGTACTTGTAATCCTACAGGTTGATTGTAGTTTGAGCTGCAGCCACCATGTCGTGCTTCTGCTGTATAAAATACCCTTGGACAAAGCCTCTGCAACAGCCCACTTTCAGGATGCTCTGTCTCAGATGCTTTCTCAATAAACCTTTCCTACTCATAATTTCTTTTGTCCTCCTTCTGTATGCAAAGACGTAAACTCAGCACACCTGACATCTGGCATTTTTCTTTTTCTTTTCTTTTTTTGTTTTTTTTGGTACCGGAGATCGAACTCGTTTCCTTGCTCTTGCAGGGCAGGCGGCAGAACCACTGAGCTAAATCCTTGGCCTTTCTTTTCTTCCTTCCTTCCTTCCTTCCTTTCTTTTCAAACAGGGTCTCACTGTGTAATCCAGGTGGCCTTGAACTCACCGTCCTTCCTCAGCCTTGCCAGTGCTGAGATTACAGGTGTGAGCCGTCACACCCGGATAAATCTTATCTTTAATAGAGGAAAGTGGCACACACCTGTAGTCCCAGAAACTCAGGAGGCCAAGGCAGGAAGAGTGCTTGGGTCCAGGTACTCTGGGCCAGACTGGGCAACATAACAAGACTCATCTCAAAAAGAAAGCAAAGGTATTTGGTTTCTCAGCCTCACAGGGCACAACCTGAGTGTGTGGGTGCCTCTCGGGTTTCAGGCAAGGGGCTGGCTCTTTTGCCCACTGTGCCTACACAGGATGGGGGCCGTGGGGCCAGTGGCCCAGTGGGCAGATGCAGGCTCTGGCCTCTCATCTCCTCCTGCCTTCCCAGCCCTTTCCCTGGAGCTGTTGGGAGCAGGGCTCAGCCCTGGCCCCTCTCTTCTCTATGGTCCTTGTTTTCCGCTGTTTGGATGGACCCTGGCCCCCAGGTCCTGGCCTCACATTTCCTGTCCAGGGTCCCTAGGAGCCCTGAGAACCTCCTGCCAGTGCCAGGTCCTGCAGGGCACGGGAGCCCTCACCTGTGATAGTCCAGCCCTGGGGGCAGACACAGGTAGCCCAAAGATACCCATGACACCCCTTCTCCCAGGGTAACTTTAGTCTACATGAGGGAGATGTCTGAGCCCACAAGTATCAGCCCGGCCCTGGCGAAGCCCAACCGACCTGCAATGCTGCTTGACAAAGTTCCAGCTGGGGGAAAGAAAGGGTGGAACACTTCGTACCCTCATGTTTTATTTTTTCTTGCTATAATGTTTATAATTGTTACTCTGGTCACAGGAGTCATTGTGTTTGTGACTAACAACAAACTCTCCATGAGGCTAATTGGCAATGATATATTGAAATCTGATCTGGCTCAAAAGTCCCAAATTCCAGTTTCTCTTAGTTCTATTGCCCCATCCGCTCCTAAAGAAACCTCTCCTAAAACCCCCTCTGTTTCCCCACTACTATAACTTCCCCTCTTATTGCTGACATTCTTTTTACTAAAGGGATCTTATGAAGAGATTGAAAGGACAGACTTTAGATGTAAGAAATAGTGGGAAATGGGAAAAAGAAAGAACGTTAAAACAGGTAAATGCATTAAGGAGGCAAGTTACTCAGTATTTCTCAAAGTGCTGTAAATATCTCCTGCTCATGGACAATGAACCCAAATGACATTTAGTTAAGATGAATAGAGGCATAGAAAAATAGAGAGCTAATAGCAAACTATATTAACCATTGTACAGTTTCTCAAGGGCCAGCTGGTGACCACAAGTTTGACGTTTAATTTGATTAAGTTACTTTCTGTTCTGCTTAGGTGTGGGACAATGAGGGAACTGTTCTGCTTAGGTATGGGACAATGAGGGAACAATTGTAATTTTTAAGAAATGTATTCATGATGTTCAATGATATGAATCAGCTTAGAAAAAATATACTGTTTAACAAAAATAACCTTTACCTCATCAGATATTGCTAAGGCAACATGTTCCGCCCAATGCCTCGTCACTATTGCTTAAAGATATAAAAATAAATCAGACCCTGAGACTTCTCAGAGGGAACCTGAACATTGCTTGTGAAGGTTCTTTTCTCATCGCCAGCCCAGGACATCCCCCCTTCCTACCCTACATCGACTGCGGCTGGTCTGCGGCACGGCCCCACCTGCACCTCAGGGCCTATGACAAAGTGGACGGAGAGCAGCACTTCTGTGCGTGGCTGGGGCTGCTGGAAAGTCGTGGCTGGGCCTAGGGTGTTCTGCCTTGCAGAAATCATAGGAAACCAACCCAGCCAGTGTAAGAGAGAGCACTGTCCAAAGACCTAGGAAGGATGTCACCAAGACGGGCAATGCAGGCGTTCTGTGGGTTAGACAGACAGCGGGTCTGTGGCAGCTTCCTGACCCTGATGGTATGAGAGTCGGTTTGCTTCTGAAGTGTGTGAGCTGCTGCAGGTCCTGGGCAGTGGGCCTACAGCTTCGCCTCAGAGGCCCAGGAAGAAAGTTATGGGAGGAGGGGACAGCGAGCCCCCGCGGTAAACTGTCAGCAGTGGGGAGTGTATGAAGGGAATATCCAGGCCTCACTGCCCTGCTCACCACTTGTCTGTAAACTGGAAATTACTCCAAGATAGAGAGTTGGATAAAAGCATCCCTGAGCTCACAGAAGTGGAGAACAGAGCAGGACAGAAGCCCGGAAGGTGGGGAGAAGGGAGGGAAGGTGGTTGGGAGCCTGATGGAAGTGCAGTCAGGTGGGAGAAGGTGTCCCAGTGCTCCACAGCACAGCCAGTGTCAACCACAAAAACCTGTGTGTTCCCTACAGATCCAGGAGAGGCTCAGAGGCTCCAAATATAAGGCATTTAATTATCACAGCATACCCCACAAATATGTGCAATTCTGATGGGTTTTAAAACATTTACCAAAAATGCACTTACAGAGCAGCACAGTGCCCACAAGCAAGAGGCGTCCAGGGAGGGTCTGGAAGGCTGTGCCACCTCGGAGAAGAGGGGCCTGGGTTCTCATGGATCCTCTGCCCCATTCCTGCTCCAGCTGTGGCAGGGCTGCCCCCTGGTGGCCACAGGGCCAGTGACACTGGAAAACGAAGGCCACCCACGCCCTCCAGGGCCACTAGGGACAGATAGGCCTTTCATAAATGACTGTCCCATCAGCTCACAATCCTCCAGGGTGAGGAAGCTGATGCAACCATCCTGCTTTATTGCTGAGCCCCTACTGTGGGCCTTAAGCATGGGAACTACGCAGTATTCCAGTTAATCCCCCAGCAGTCCTGGGGACAGTCCCTGTGGCCACTGCATGTAGAAACGGAGACATGGACGGGGGAAATAATCTGTTCAGAGTGAGTGAGCTGCCCCTCAGAAGTCCTGGGGGGTCTCAGAGTCTCAGGTGATGCCCAGGTAGCTAGGCTGTTTCCCGACCATGAGACCAGACTGCTGGGGCCATTGCGGCCCATGACTGGATCTCATCAAGCCCCTCTGCACACTCAGTCTGCACCCTTGGGTGCCCCGCATGCAGTTCCCTTTTGCCCACAGCTGGGGTTCCTCGCAGGAGATGTGGCTCTCTAGGCAATGCAACCCCAGAATTCCCAACAAAACTTTCCTGCCCACTTCCCTGGGCCAATGTGATTTCTCCCTGAGGAGTGAGGGGAAGGGAAGAAGGGGCACAGAGAGGCAAGAGAGGTGATGAGGAGAGGGAAGAGGGGAGAGGGGAATGGAGGGAGAGAGGGGGAGGAAGGGCCGGGAGTGGACGCCGAGTGGATAGGGGCAGGCAGAAGGGAGGAAGGTCCATGCCCCCAGCTCTGGGAAACCTCCATACTAACCTGAGGAGCTTCCCCAGTCAGATCACAGTGAGACAGGCTGTGGTCAGGACTGATGAGCAAGCTACCGTGACCATCACTGTGGGAAAGGAACGGTGTGGCCAGGAAGGTGGAACAGACGCAGCCACCCTGGGTCATGGCAGGCCCTTGCTCTGAGCACCTGCTCCTGGAGGTCTCAGCCTAGGTGCCCTCAGCCAGCACGGAGGTGGCTAGAGCCCTGTGTGGTCCTGCCCGGGTGGCTGCCCCACCCTGCCCTGCCCACTCAGGTGAGCCCCAACCTTCCTGCCCGGCTGTCCAGTCTCCCTCCCACACCTGAGCATGTGTTTTCCAATTGCTAATTTCACATCTGCACTCCCCACCCCTGGGGCCCCGTGGGAGAGCCCCAGGTGGCCCTCTGGAGTCTCCTCAAGCCAGGGGATGGAGGGTGAGGCTCCCTCTGCACCCTGGGCGCAGCCTGGGGCCTTGGTGGCTGGGACCTGGGCACCAAGTCTGTCATGCTGCACAGATAGTTTCTGGAATATTTTCTGTTCTGGTTTTTTTTTTTCAAAAGAACAAGTGCTTCATAATTTAAGTGAAATAAATGTTGAAGTTCCCTATTTAGCTCCCCCATATGTAGCTTCCGGTCTTTATGTTTATGGTGGGAAGGAGCAGGCCCCAAGGGAGGGGCCCACAGGATCTCCTGTCAGAGAGGGACACACAGCCCTCCCCACCAGAAGATGCCTCCCCATTGCAGGTCCCCGCCACCCAAGAGAAGGGAGAGAACCAGTGCTGGCCCAGGGCCCTGTGAGGGCCGTCAGGCTGTCAGGGAGCACCAGCCCCCAGTCAATGGCTTCCACCCCTCATCCTCCCAGCCCTGGCCTCGGGGCAGGCAAGGGACCCTTGGCCAGTCGGGTTTCGCCCAGTGAAAGGCTTTGGAGCCTCACCTCCAGCTGCTCCTGCCCCCCTGGGACCGCCGTGAAATCAAGCCCTGCACACCAGCCCGCCCGCCTGCCTGCCAAGGTCCCCCCATCAGTATTGCCCCCCCACCCCGCACAGAGGGCCTCCCATGACCCCTGGACACTGGGCCCAGCATGTGGCCCGGGACAGAAGGGGAAGGCCCTGTATGAGGCCCAGTGATACCAGTGTCCCCGAGCCACAGAGTGCCTGGTGCCACTGAGCAGGGAGAGGTGGAAGGACCCCGCCCTGAGCCTGGCACTGGCCCTGCCCACTCCACCTGGGGCTTCTGGCTCCAGGAATGCAGGGGAGGATTGGGAGTGGTTTTGTCCCACTTACCAGTTTGTGGCATTAGTCACCGGAGCTCCAGGGTGTCCACACTGTGAAACAGGAGACCCCTGGCCCTCCTCTTGCTCTCCCCGGCCCCACGGTCCAGACTGGTCCTGACCTGACCCAGCTGCCACTGGTCCAGGCCCTGTGAGACCCACAGCTCACTTCCTCTTTCGTGTGTGGCCCCAGGGTCCCAGGAAAACATCTACCTCTAAAGCAGGACTGCAGCACTAAGCTGTCAAGGAAGTTGGGTCTCACTCACGCTTGTGTTTTATCTCTGTATTTTCCCGATGTATTTTTTGATCTCTCTCAGGATGAGGAGCAGCAAACCACAGCTGCCTTACGGACCTGAGAGCTTGACTCTCTGGGCATGGCTAGACAGATGATGGAGCCGGTCAGGTAGGTGTCACTGACCCCATTTTTCAGATGGGGAGATGGAGGCAGCAAGGGACCTGGCCTAGACAAGGCTCAGCGGGCCTGGCTGGGATCTGCCGCTGGGCCATGAGGTCCCCCTCTTGCTCCAACCTTGGTGAGGGCTGGGGCCGAGTGGAGAGTCACCTGCTTGCTCCTGCGTTGCGCTGTCTGTCTGAAGACCCAGCCCAGGATCCTGTAGCAACGAAGCAGATGTCGGCATGGTTCTTCACTCCCCTGCCTCTGGGCAGCCGGTGGCCTGTCACACCCTCCTAGGGTGACCAGCACTTCAGGCTGATAGAGGAGAGCAGTCACCCCCACACCTCCACCCCTATAGCTCCTGGCAGTGCCACAGTGCCCAGGCATTGGGCCAGTGCCCATGACCCTCGCGTCCCTCTGAGGCAGAGCCATGGAAGCCCCAGGACACACCGCACCAGTCACCCAGAAACTCCCGCAGGAAAGCACAGAAAATGAAGTCATCAGCCAAGCCCTCCTGGCAGCCTGCTGCTGGCTGGTGGCCGAGGGAGCCAGCCAGGACATGAGGCAGGTAGAGAGGTCCCTTCCTTGTCAGAACTCCTCAGTCGGGATTTCCAGGGTGCACAGCGAGCCCCACTCAGCTGGCTGCGGCCCTGGGGCGTTGCCAGGTGCGGGGAATGCGTAGTTGTGGGTGAGTGGCGTGGGTGAGCGTGTCTCCTCTGAGTCCTTCCACTGTGTGAGCCTAGTGTCCTCTATCTTCGTGGACCACTTTTTCCAGCCCTTGTGGATTCTGGCAACTTCTTGCCGGGAATGGTCTGTGGCCAGTACATAGATGATGGGGTCAGCCACGCTGTTGACCGTGGACAGGCACAGAAATACCACGGAGGCAGTGTACACATGGGCTTCGAAGGCGCACACAGCCTCCCTGTCCCCTCTGTAGTAGGAAAAGGCAGCGGCTTTGACGAGGAGCACCACGTGGTAGGGGGCGAAGCAGACCAGGAAGATGACGACAACCGCGATGGCCGAGTGCTTCACCTTGGCCTTCTGGGCAGCAGTCAGGCCCCCGCTCAGCTCGATACTGCGGAAGATGCGGTGGTTGGTGAACACAATGATGCAGAGAGGGAGCGCGAAGCCCACAGCAAATCGTGCGTAGTGGAAGCCTGCAATGCTGGTGTTCATGCGCAGGGGCTCAAAGCAGGTTCCCTTCATGACTTCCATGTGGAACACTGGGTAGTGCACAAGCCCAACCAGGACAAAGATGCCTGCAGAGATTAGCATGGCAGTCTTCTGGTGGCGGTGGCCCCGGCTCTCCAGCGCGTACACCACTGCTGTGAAGCGGTCACAGGAGATGCAGCAGAGTAGGAGGATGCTGATATAGATGTTGCAGAAGAAGATGTAGGCAGTCACCTTGCAGGCGCGTGGGCCCAGGGTCCAGTGGTGCTGGTTCTGGATGTAGATGACCCAGAGTGGCAGCGTGCTGATGTACAGCACCTCGCAGAGTGCCAGGCAGAACAGGTAGACAGCCAGCACGTTGCCCTGCAGGGCCTGCAGCAGTGTCAGCCAGGCCGTCAGGCAATTGGCAGGCAGACCCAGCGCGCACACCACACTGTACACCACCAGCAGCGTCATCTTGCTGTCGTCGAAGGATGCATTGCAGAGCTCCCCAGCGAGGTCCGGGGTGGTCACCAGGGTGGTGTTTTCTGTGGGACACAGAAGAGAGTGAGGATGAGAGTCCTTGGAAAACCCTAGGGGTGATTTATAGAACCAAGAGAGGTCCTGTGGCTCCAGACTAGACACCACATGTTCAAAGCCTTTTCAGATGGGTGGGCGTCTGAGTGAGTGTGTGTGTGTGTGTGTGTTTGCACGCACGCGTGTGCAGTACAGGGGACTGAACTCAGGCTCTCCACATGCTTCCCACTGAGCTACCTCCTCAGCTCTTTGTTATTTCTTATTTCACATGATCTTGCTAAGTTGGTAAATGGCCCGGGCTGGGCTTGAACTTGTGATCCCCCTGCATCTGCTCCCAGAGTGCTGGGATTACAGGCCTGTGTCACCACTCCCAGCCTCCAGATGGATGTTCACAATGACCCTTAGATCCTGGATGTCCAGTATCCTGGCATCATGGACAAGAATGCAGGCTGGGCCAGACTAAGACTTTGCAACTCTTTGAGGTCAGTTCTGAAAAACATTGCTGGAGGAGAATGTCGATTCTCGAAGCTGAGCAACAGCGTCAGCACTGGGCACTGCTGCTCCCCTCTTCTGGCGCCTCGCACGCTTTAACCCACTCCCACCCCGCTCACCTGCTGCTCAGTCTGTGCTCACCTACAGTTTTACTTCTTCTTCTCCAGCTTGAGCTCTCAGCTACCGAGAAGACGGTGAACATTCCCTGTGGTGAGGAGGCTCTGTCCACTTCTCCTAGCCACCCCCACATTTGCTTTGCGTACCTGAGGCTGCTGTCAACTGGCACATGAGAGTTAAAGATGCTTCTCCTATCCTCGTGGGCTGGGTCTTTCACCCCTGTGTCACAGGGATCTCTATCCTCGAGATAGGCACGATAGCAACCTACTCCCAAAGGCACTGGAATCCCCACCCCTGGAACTTGTGAGTGCTGGGCTCTGCAGCAGAGGGGTGAGATCATCCTGGCCACCCGGCCCAGTGTATCACAAGGTCCTTAGTGTCAAGAGAGGAAGGAAGAAAAGGACAGAGTGATACAGTGCAAGGGCAGATGGACCGGCATTTGTGGCTCCAAAGGTGGAGGCCATGGCCAAGGACTGCAGGATGCCTCTGGCAGATGGATGAGGTGAGGAAGCAGATCCCCCCGCAGCCCCTGGGAGCACAGTGTGGTGAGCACTAGGGTTCCATGTTGCCTCAGCGTCCACTCTGGATTGAGGTCTGACTTTCCTGGCATGGTCAACACTGGACACAGCTTGAAGTTCTTACCTCACCCCAGGGGCCAAGCTGGGGCCAGAGCAGAGAACTTGGGGCGTATCTGCCTACCCAACTTCCTCTGAACAGGACATTCAGGCATCTGGCCAAAGACTAAGTGACACCCACCCTCAAATATCCCACTGGCTGCTACACACATGGACTCTGCTGCTGCCTCGAGCTGCTTCCCCGCCCAAAACTCGTCAGGTGCAGAGTCCAAGCCTTCACAGGAAGGACCAGCGGCTGACCCAGGACAGCTTCCAGGGATTCCCAGCACCAGAGCAGTGATCAGGAGGCATGAGTGGGACATGATCGAGCAAGAGCCACGCGTGGCTGCCACAGTGAACACGTTTCCTGGGGGGCGCCCTGCTGGCTCCCTTCCTTCCCGCCGGGCGGGGCTGCCACCACCTGGCATTTCATCCTGGCACCTTGGTCTGGGTGCCCGGAGACACCAGGTCACGCGGTGCTGTCGAAGCCTCTAAGTCTGTAGGCATTCACTGCAGCCACCATGGGGAACCCATGCCATTGCCTGCAGTGCTTCTGGTGGAAAGTTTCTTCACTAGATGGTTCTCTAATCACAATCAGTTTTCTTTTGACTACAATGTGACATATGTTTTCTAGCCTTTCACTTTCAATTTATTTGAATCCTTCTTTTTGTTTGTTTGTTACTCTGCTTTTTTCCCCTGTAGTTTTTTTTTTTTCCGTACTGGGGATCGAACTTGGGACCTTGTGCTTGCGAGGCAGGTGGTGGAACCACTGAGCTAAATCCCTGGCCCTCCCCCTGTACTTGAGATGGAACCCAGGGCCTCCACACTGAGATACATCCCTAGTCCTTTTATTTACTTTTATTTTGATACAGGACCTCCCTAAGTCACTAAGTTGCCCAGGCTGGACTTAAACTTGAAGTCCTCTTGCCTCAGCCTCCTGATTAAGGCACCTTATCCGGATTTCCATTTCTTTGTGTTCTCTATTTGTTTTCTGTTACAGGCTGAGCTGAATCTTCCCCAAAAGATATGCTGGGATCCTGACCACCCATGCTTCAGAAGGTGACCGATTTGGAAAAGAGGTCTTCACCCATTGGTTCTCAGGACAGTGAGGTCTAGGAGTGGTAGTGACAGGAGTCCCCACAAAAAGGAGAAATCTGGACAGATCCACCCAGAAGGAGAGGACAGGAGCAGGGAAGGAGTGGAGCTGATCCCCCTGCTGGCCTGAGGCAAGCCCATTCTACAGACGCCTCAGTGTGACTTCTGGCCTCCCACAGCCCTAGGACGGCAAGTCTGTCATTCAACCCTCCCCATTCTGCAGCCCCAGCAACTTATCTTCTCTGCAGCCCCTCAATGGCTTAGAATTTATTCTTTCTCCCTTTCATCCTTTAGAGAGTTGACAAGGTACACAGCCCCTCCAAAGCTGTCCGAACCTCACCCCTCTTGCTGCACAGGACCTGTGGATGCTGGACCCATCACCCTTGGATTATAGGTGATTTATGTCCCCTTGTTTCAGTTGTGTGGCCTTTGTTTTAATCATGGAAAAAATACAAAGCCTAAGATTTGCCACTATAACCCCTTCTGTACGTGCAGCTCAGGGGTGCTGAGCACCTCCATGGTGCGTCCAGGTTCCACCCACAGGGGAGACAGTGCTGCTGTGATTTTCCAGAGCCCGGGCCAGGCTTGGCCTGTCCTCTGTGACCATTTCCTGTCGGTGTCTCAGTCCCTTCAGGCTGCAGTAACAAGCGGGCCCAGCCCAGCTGGCTTGGAAGCAATAGGACTGTTTTTCTTGGTTCTGGAGGGCAGAGGTCAAGGATCGAGGCCAGCAGAGTCTGCATTAGGTGAGAGCTGTTTCCTGTTCACCAGGGAGGCTTCCTGCTGTGTCCTCTGGTGGGGAAGGCTGTAGGTGGCTCCCTGGGGTCTCTTTCCTATGTTGCTAATCCCATCCGCTCCCAAAAGCAACTTCCTCTGGGCTTGTGTGGCTGAAGACATCAGCATACTCATGGGGGACACAGACATCCAGGCTTTAAAATTCCATTTTTCACTTTCTGTCCATTATGATTTTTTTTCTTTTGCTTGCTTTTAAGGTGCTGGGGATCAAGTCCAGGGCCTCACACATGCTAGGCCAGTGATCTACCACTGAGCATAATGTGTAATGTGCAGCAAAGAGCCCCTAGCATCCTGGGTCTGGGGCCACAGGACCCACGGGAGTTCACAGCAGCCCCGCCTCCCCTCGGCCCTCTGCCGGGATGTGCCCAGCCACACACTTCTCAGCCCTCTGCCGGGGCTGCTGGGTGGTTTGGAGTCTCAGCTCTCACCTTCCTTCCCTGGCACAATGACCACTATTCACGCCCTAGAGCGGGCTGAGGGGTCTTGGAGACACTGTCCAGTCTCATGGCCCTGGATAGAGTTGTCCCTGGATCTCCTGGTCTCAGGGCCTGTTGACCCCTTGGCCTCTCCACATGGACATCCAGCTGGCTAGGAAAACGAGCATCCCACATGCTGCCATGGTCTTCAGGGGCCTGGCCAGCTCTCCAGGTCTCCCTGGGATATCATCACCCATGCCCGTTGTGGTTACCGGTCCCTTTGCAGAACTGAACAGCAGGACATCAGCAGATAAACCGCTCCACATCTCAGCAGAAGGCTCCTCAAGAAGGAACTAGAAAGCTTGTCCAGGAGTAATGGGCCTGATGCCCTACCAGGCCACTTGCTTGGTTTCTCTTATTTTTCTGTGATAAAATGCATATAAAATATTCCATCCTAACCATTTCTAAGTGTGCAGTTCTGAGGCACTAAGCACATTCCCAGTGTTGTGCAACCATTGTCCCCACCCATCTGTAGCATGTTCTAATCTTGCAAGGACAAACCTCTGTCTTCATCACACACTAACTTTCATCCCCTCCCAGCTCCTACATCCAGCCATCAACCTTCTGCCTCTGGATCAAAACCCCGAGGGGGCCTCATGTGAATGGTCATCTGGTATCTGTCCTTTTGTGCTGACTTATTTCACTCAGCCCGGGTTCCTCAAGGTTCATCTGTATTGTGACATGTGTCCCATTGCTGAGACACAATCTCTGACACCCACAGGTTAAAGTGCCTCACAGTTCTCATCCACGGTCGCCTAGCTCTGATGCAGGTGGAGGACATTCAAGGTTTGGTAGTGTCCATGTCCTCCACAGAGCAGCTCTAGTCCCATCCCCATGCCCAGGGTCCACTGTGGGGTCCTGGTGGGGCACAGTCCCATGCCACCTGCTCAGACCACCTACTCAGCCCAGGAGCCTTCACTGGGCACCACATCCCACTGCTGGGTGCTGTGGAGGACTGGACATGGCCCTCATTCCACCTCTCTCCCTGCAGAGGACACGGAGACAAGCCCAGAAGAAGCAGACGGGGAGGGGGGAGACTCATAGTCACCGCCCCCATGCCCCGGGGTGGCCAGCAGGGCGGTCGTGTGGGACATGTGGGCAGTCACACCAGGCCATTCTCCCAGGAAGTGGCCACAGAGATCACCAGAACTGTTCAAAAGAATTGTGAAGAAGGCACTCCCCAGTTTCTTGATGGAGCACCTCTGAATTTAGTTTTTATTTTGAAAATCTATCTCTCTATGTGAATTTTTGAATTATGAAACCAAGGTATGGAACAAAGTGCATCTTAGAAAGATTTCCAAGGACCCTATTAAATGTTCACAGCCCCAGGGGCCCTCTCACCTGGCATAGCTGCAGGTGCAGTCTCAGGGCGGCTCCAAAGCAAGCTTCCTCATGCACGTCATGCACCCTGCTGCCAGGTGAGGACACTCTGCCTGTGTAGACCTGGGGAAGCACAGTGGGAATTACGTCAGGAAAATAGGAGGCAGTCACATGAATTAATTCATTCCACCACATGGTTACAGAACATTCATGATGTGCCAAACCTTCCTATGGGTGACAAAAGGGCCAAAAGCACACACTGGAGGAAGAGAAGCCTCTCTAACAAACTGTGGTGGGAGAACTGGTGTCCACATGCTGAGGACTGACCGGAGAGCCACATTTCTCACCATGCAGTACACGAAATCAAAATGGATCAAAGATCTAAATGTTAAAATGAAACAATCTGCTGGGAGACAAAATAGGTAAAACTCATGAAGACATAGGCCTAGGCAAGGACTTTATGAAGAACCAGTTGGACAAGAAATAACATCAAGAAACAACACATGGGATCATATCAAATTAAAAAGCTTCTGGAGGGGCCAGGGATTTAGCTCAGTGGTTGTGCCGCCTGCCTCGCAAGCACAAGGTCCCAAGTTCAGTCCCTGGTACCAAAAAAAAGAGCTTCTGGAGGCTGTGGATTTAGCTCAGTGGCACCCTGTCTGCCTTGTAAGCGCAAGGTCCTGAGTTCGATCCCCAGTACCAAAAAAATAAAAGCTTCTGGAGCCAGGTGTGGTGGTGCACACCTGTAATCCCAGCACTCAGGAGGCTGAGGCAGGAGGATCACTGCGAGTTCAAGGCTACAGAGTTAGTTCGAGGCCAGCTTGTCTCAAAAAACAAACAGCTGGGATGTAGCTCAGTGGCGCTGCACCTGTCTGGCAAATGCAAGGTCTTGAGTTTGCACCAAAAAAAAAAAAAAAAAAAAAGCTTCTGCACAGCAAAGGAAATGACTAATAAAGAGCCAACCTATAGAATGGGAAGAACATTTGCCAGCTATTCCTTAGACAGAGGACTGATATCTAGAATATATAAAGAACTCAAAAAAGTTAGATGCTGCCAAAATAAAAGACCTAATCAAAATATAAGTACTAATAAATTTCAATAAAATTAAAATTAAAAAATTAAAAATTCTGTCAAGAAAAAAAATTGCCAAATTGCGCTACCAAAAAGAAATGAAAAGGGACAAGTGAAATGAATAGACACTTTTTTTTGGTACCAGGGATCGAACTCAGGTTCTTGTGCTTTCCGAAGCAGGTGGTGGAACCACTGAGCTAAATCCCTGGCCTTTTTTTTTTTTTTTTTTCCTTAAAAATCTAAAACTAGGGCCAGGGATTTAGCTCAGTGGCTCCGTCACCTAGCTCACAAGCTCAAGGTCCCAAGTTCGATTGCGGTACCAAAAAAAGAAAATCTAAAACTAGAAATTCTATTTGACCCAGATGTTCTCCTCTAGGTATCTTTTTGAAAGAGTTAAAGTCATCGTATTACAGTGACCCCTGCACACTCATGTTTATAGCACCATAACTCATAATATCAAAATCTTGGAACCAACCTATATGTTCATTAACAGATGAATGGATTTAGAAAATGTGTCATTTAAACACAATGGAGTACTATTCTATCATAATAAAGGATAAATTTGAGTCATTTGTAATCAAATCAATGTACCTTGAGACCGTAATGCTAAGTGAAATAAATCAGACACACCAGCTTAAAATATCACATAATTTCTCACGAGATACCCAAAATATAAATAAATTCAATAGTAAAATGAAACACAGATAATAAGAAACAGGGGGCTAGATCTTTGAGAAAGAGGAGACCAAGAAAGGGCGGGCATGGAAAGGAGGGAAAGCGAGGAAGGTGAAGAAGGACTTCGGGGTGTAATGAGGGCGTGCTCTGGGCCTTACTCACTTCCTCAGTGAATTCGATCACTGGTGCTGCAGACATGTACTAATGCAAATTTTTAAACAATGAATTCATTTCACTGGGTGTGGTGGTACTCACTTGTAATCCCAGCACTCAGGAGGCTGAGGCAAGAGGACTGTGGTGAGTTCCAGGCCAGCCTGGACTACGTAGTGAGTTCAAGGCCAGCCTACATTATAACAAAAACAAAACCAAAAAAACCTCATTTTGTGGGATACAATAGCAAATTCCTAACATGCAAAGAACTCCCACACATCAACAAAAGAACCCAAGGGAAGAAATTATCTCAGCTGGCAAGCATCAAAGCATAACCTTATACATCATAAACGTCAACAATGCTGTGTCACTTGTATCTTAGGAAAGCTGGGGATGGGGGAAGAAAGCCAGGAGCTTTCAAAGAAAAAAGAAAAAATAGTTCTAAAAGTCCTAGAACTACTCAACTCCACTACAACCAAAGAAATAAAAGCACAAACATGTGAAAAGTAATCTGGTTTTCTGCCCATCCAGTTAGAAAATCAGGACGTCCCTCTCAGTATGGCAGGGCGGGGCAGCTGTAGTATACTGACGGTTGTGACGTCCCAAGGCACAAGCTTGCAGTGTTTCCAAAACTCCTGAATGTGCCAAAGGCCTTCCTGGGACTTTTTCCTGTGCAGTGATGATGCGGGAAGACGAGCATGTGGCCCATGTGACGGGGATGCAGCCCTGGCACACCGGGTGGGGCAGGGCAGAGGGGCCCAGTGAGTCTGATCCTCTGCTTCCTTCCCTGATAGGGTGCCCTCAAAATGGGCTCCATGCTCACCAGCCAGAAGGCCTGGGCCAGGCAACGCTCCACACTCTCCCTCCAATGTCCTGGAGGACTCAGCACTCTGAAAACTCCAGGCATCTCAGGCAACCAGGGCCCCACTCTAGCCACTAGACAGAGGACACAGGGGGCAGAGGCTGGGCCTGGGGGTCACCTCACTGGCTGCATGGGGCTGAGCACCTACTGGTGCCCCAGCTGTGGCCACCAATACCCCAGGTGCAGGCCTGGATTTGGTGTGGTCCTCCAGGTGCAGGGACCCAGGGAGCCACTTGCAAGCACAGCAGAGCTGGACACCCACCCAAGCCCCAGGCTCACCTGGGAGGGGGTGATCAGCTTCCCTGCCTAACATTTCTCAAGTATTTCTAGACTCTGGAAATAACAGGAAGTCAAGACGAAATAACAGGAAGTTCACTGACTTCAGAAGAGCTTTAACCATTTACCAGTCCAGTTACTTAAATA